GATGAAATTGACCTGTCAAGTCTTAGCAAGAAAGATGACGATGAGGACCTTACACTTCTTCGTCTGGAAGAGATACACTCTCCCCAATAACAAAATCGTGTCTTCGCAAACAATGGCTCCATTGATTGACATCTTGAGAGCCGCCATCGATTCTTTATACCGACAAAAGCACGTCGCTTCGATAAATAGAAGTGTGTTAGAGAAGTTTGGAATGACATCGCAATTACTGTGTCAGTGCGGGTTAGAGTACTTCGCTGATGAAGTCCCAAGTTCACCAATTTGCTACTCACCAGAGTTAAAGTACCAATTCAGATCTTCAATTAGTGCGTTCAGACCTTGCTCCGATAATTCTTATATCGTCTTGTCAGACTCTGGATCACTTGAAGTGAACTCTCTCTACTCACAGTCCAACTGAATGTAAATTAATATGTTATTGCTCCTTTCTTGGTTCTGTTTTCTCAAATATCTTAGTCAAATAAGTCGAGAATAAGTACTCAATTCCCTAAGATTATTGCAGAGTCCTATTTACTGAATAAAAAAGAATTAAAAAAGACTTATTCCTTCTTTGGCAAATTAGCCAAAACTTGGTCAAAGAATCTCAGCTCTTTGTGTCGAGCAAGTTTTAGTGCGGGGACGTCGGTTTCCTTCTCGATGTACAAATCAGAGCAGTGCGACGTTCTGTCAATCAAATTGACTAAATTACCGTCTTGTCCTTCTTGTTGAGTGACTCCAAGTGCGTGCCATGGGTCTGTTCCTCCGTTTGTAAATGCCACATTAGTGACTTTAGGGTTTTTACCTCCGTATCTGACATTGATATGATCGACTGCATTATATAATGTTTGGTTGTCGATGTTGTATATGTCGTGACACATTTTAATACTTCCGTCCAACTTGTTTAACTTCCCAAATTTCACAGAGGACTTCTCACTGACGACTTGGTAATAACCATACGCAATACACGTTTGGAACACCCAAGACCGACCAGCCGCCTCATCATTTCCATCTTTATATAAAGTGGTATCCATCAGTCCTTTATAACTCTCATCCAAAGAAGAGGGGGTACAAGTACTTCCAGCCCATTCGGGGTCCATTCTATTAATAACAAAATTAGGGTATTTGCTATTGACGTCTTCAATAATTTCATTACATATCGAATCAGTGCTTTCATA